AGCCATATGCATTTGCATCCTTGGTGCTCCTTGGAGTTTTATATGTACCTAACTCAATTGAATATCTTCTTACAATGCAGATTTTGTTTCAGTGCATTCTGGACAGACTGGATTTTTCACAATAGGATACAGATGCTGCTGGGCCATGGACTAGCCTTTCAAATGAGCAGCTGAAGCTGGAAGATGCAAAGGACTTACCCAAGGTCACATGATCTATTACACAAACAAACTAGAGCCCAGAGAATTTAGGTCACAGCCCCACAGACCTCGTCCATCAGTACTTATTTCTTTCAGTGAAAAGAAACAGAATAGAAGAATCAAGTAGAAATGAAGCCTAATCAGATTGCCGGCACATATTTTTAAATGGGGTCATTTTTAAAAAAATTCTTTACCAATGAGCTTGATTGAAAAGGATAGTTTTTAATTATAATTTTCTTTAACTTTTGCTTGTTTTTGACAGATCCTACCTCAATTTCAGCAACAGATTTGGTCCTTACAACTGGTAACAAGTTTTCAACTGACCCATCCTCTCTCTAACTATCTCAGGGATATTGCTGTGTTAAGATTCTACCCTAGTTGTCTAGGAATCACTCCATGGAATTTACCTTTGGTAAGCAGACCAGAACTTTGAAATGGACAATGGGGTCCTCTATGCAGCCAGGTTGAGATCCGTGTTCAAGCCCAAATAAAGTGCTGAACACACATGGAGATAATCTACAGAGCCTATCTCTCTTTCTTTCTACGTGCACATAACTACTTAAAAATTAGCTCTCTGGCCTCCCTACTGACTGTGTATTAGGAAAACAACAGGTTGCAGATAGGGAACAGAGACTGGGAAGGGTAAAACTGATAGCAGAACCTCATTGGCAATGGCAGGAAATGCCAGCAAATGCTGCAGTTGTCACAGAAGTGCTCAGGAAAAAAAATCACTCAATATTGTCACATTTTCCTAATACAGCAATCTGGAGCAAAAAATGCCAACTTAACCTCGATGTCTTCTGAGCTACCATTGTGCTACATCCTAATATAAAAAAGATGATATTCTCCCGAATGGACCTATTTGTACTGAATAATCTATCTAGGACATAAGGCCCAATGTTCACAGGAAGCCCAGAAAGCTCCACAACCCTTGCAATCAGCCAGAGACACAGAGACGGCCCCTACAACAGGGATAACCTGCTGCCTACCGCCCCAGGTTTGATCAGCTATGCCCGAGGGATGCCAGGTCTGAGGGCCCATACCTAACCTGCTTGTCTGTGTGTGTTGTATTACAGGTCATATTTCAAACTAGTAAGCACACCCCTGCATACACACACACACAAAAAAACAAAAAAAACTAAATACTGCTAAGTGAGACCACAATAATGGCAAAATTTTCTTATTTCCACAATCTTTGTATATTGACGTAGCTACTTCGAGGGGTAATTTAATGTTATTTTGGGTTCTATCTTGATTTGATAATATGCTGTTAGTCAACCCAAAATATTCTTCTCTATTTGCAGATACAACCCTCACATCAAGTGAAGTATCTCTTTCACAACGTATGCTATCGGCCTTCACAGTCCCTGGTGAGTAACTTTCTTAGAATTCCCAGTGTGGCAGGAATTAAAATACCCACAATAAACATTTCCTGCTTTCCCAGGAGAGAAGGAGCGATAAGGGGAAATCAGACAACTCTCTAGAGGATTCCAGGCCCTCTCCATCCCTGGGCATAAAATGAACACAGTGAGGGTAGGTGCTGGGGGCAGAAAGATCAGGATAAAAGGACCTCAAATGCAGAACCTAAAGGAGCCTGTAGAGATTATCTAGAACAGTTTCAAAAGTTAGCCTGCGTGTGAGCATCCTGGAGAATGTGCTGGATGCAGATTCAGTGGCTCTGGGAAAAGCTTGAACATATCTATCTGGCTCCTGTCTGATGCCAATGCTGCTGGTCATGGACTCCCTAGAGGAGTAAAAAAATTGAACAACCAGGAATGGAGGGGTTGAAAGGAGGGCAGGGGAATAGGGAAAAAATAAGAACCAAGATGTATCATGTATAGGTATACATTCGCAATGATGAATGTCATCCTATTGTATACCTAAAATGTACCAATAAACTTAATGAATAAAAACAATTGAACAACCATACTAATTCTGGAGGAAAATGAGTCCCAGAGAAGTAAGACATTTACCTAAGTTCACACAACTAGGAAAGGCAAAGCCACATCTTCCAACTCCCAACTCACGTTCAAGGTCCTTTCAGATTCCAGGCTTCGCTAATGAATCAATTGGTGTGATTCCTCCAAGTCCCTGTGATATTGATGTCTATGAGGAAAAAATGAAGAAAGAAACAAAGGTACAACAGGACAGGTTTATTTGGAACAACCTAAGAGGGACCACCCTGGTACCAACACCATACTGGGTAACTCTCATATGGGCTATAAGGCCTTTCACAAGGTAATGAGTGTAAAGAAAAAGCCAAAACGGGACTTTCAAGGGGGAGAGTGCACTAAAAAGGAGTTGTGGCTACTTCCCAGGAGCAAGGCTGGAGGACCTATAGGGAGTCATGGTTCCATGTCAAGAGCAGGACTGAATAATGACAGGAATTATGGGCTATGGCTGTACTCACCAGGCCTTTTTAACCCAAATCATACACCTTTAGTCAGTGTACAAGCACGGCAGGGAGAAGAGGTTCAATATGATCTCTGTTCTGCCTAGAATGGTTGCAGTTGGATAAGGAAAGCAGGTGGGTGGTGCATCTCTTCCCTAACTGGTTCCTGTTGATTAGAAGCTATGGTGGTCATGGCTGGGGTCTGAAGAGGGAGGACTGCATTGGTGTGTTCTTTAGCAGCTGCCTGTGAAATGGTCTCAATCCTGTTGCTGAAAAAAATCTTTGAAATAGACTGATTAGGCATGCCAATAATAAACAGGTGAGGAAGGAAGGAAGGCAGGAGAGAAAAGAAAGGGCACTACAAAATGAAGAATCCAGGGTAGGATAGCAGACTTCCATAAATCTCATGAACTCTGCAAGAGGTACTGTGACATTTGGTGGACTGCTGTGTCCATCTCCTCAAACTGCAGTCACATTGTCACGATTATCTGGGATAAAAGTACAACATGTTGTGTGGAGCATGGTACAAGTGGCTCCTTCGCATCTGTAAGGAGGTCTAAAGTCATGGGATTTTGTAAAACTACTTTTTCATTTGGTGTGTTTCATCCACCAATGTTATAGCTTGGTGAATGGCATTTAATGTGTGTGCTAGGTATTGGGCTAAGACTTCTGCATCCAAGTCTGTCTTAATGGATGCTACTCCTGGAAGAGTCACAGCTAGGGAGTAAAACCAACAGGGAGTACATTTTACAAGGTGCCACTGATGGTAGACTGAATCCCAATTTAAAGGTTATTCTGAGAGAGAGCTGAGAATACAGCCAGGAACATAAAGATGTCTCCATGTGCATCATGCTGTCCTACTAGCTGGTAGATAGAGCCAGCTATATCAGCTGCAAACCCATAAATGTCCTAATGGAACCATATCTGAAGCAACTGTTCCATGATATTTTCCCCCTTCTACCATACACAGGGAATAGTAGTATATGTGATCTTAAGACATAGGTCCTCAGGTATCTACCCTACCATGTGTTTAAGATCAAAATATGTAGAAAGAATATGTGTTTGGGCACTTTACAGGCTTGAATTCTGGGCGACCTGGTCATATTGTATGATTCCCCTGACTTTTCATTTCCTCATCCCTAAAATGGTGGTAATACTGACCTAGATTAGTCATTGTAAGGACTAGAGACATAAATGATCCGGCGCATTGCAGTTGCTCAAATGCAAATTGTTATTGTTCCACTGTGCAAAACATACTTCTTAAAAACTGTTTTATTCCTGAACATTTAAATTCATATAAATAAATTGTTTTCATAAATTTGTAGTCTACAGTGTAAAATATTTCAATGAAACCAAATGTAATGCTTTGTTTTCACTAAAAAAAGAAAAAAAATTTTTTTTTGGCAGCCAGTGTCCCAGTTTCAATGAAAGTGACACCATCACCTGGTAATGATCAAGACTATTGCTACATCAGCATGTTTATTTTATTTTATTGCCTTAAATCTATTGTTAATTGTCCTACCTTGCTTTGTATACTTGTAGCATAAAATTACACTTCTCGGATATGACATTTCTCTTATTTAGTTTGACTTTTCTCACTTCATTTCAACACCTGAAAAAATGTTTCCTATAAAATCGAATGTTTTTTATTTTTCTTTTCAAAAATTCATTATATTTATAGTGCTTCTTTATGGCTACTTAATCATTTTATTACTGGAGAATAAAGAGTATCCAACAGCGTTTGTTACATTTTGATGCTAAGAAAGTAAAGTTTCTACATTCAAATCAAAATAGAAACTTAAACCAAAGTATTGGTATCTGAAATTAGAGAAAATTTTTGGCTCTTGAATTTTGAACATAAATAAGTTTGAAGGTCATTTTTAACACTTTTATTTATTTTTATTTGCAGTTACCATTTCAGTGGAAGAAATGATCACTTCATCTGGTAATTTTTGTTTTGTTCCTAATAATTAAAATGATCCTATATCTATTAATACCACTAGGGTTATATTTCTTTTTTAAGTCCCTACTGTTTACAGGAACCCGGGGCCTCAGGCTCACATGCATTCTACCTCTGAGCCGTGCTCATGGTCCCTGTGCCAAACAAACACAGTAATCTTGCTTCCAAGACTGTAGCAACCAATTAGGCCAGGAAGGAGCAGCCGTCCCAGACCAAGCATACTGCAGTCAGAGAAATTAATGCTACTATGATTATTAATATACACTGAGCCTCTTTCGTGTGCCAATCAGTGCATAATACTGAAGGATAAAGCTGCCTCAGACCAATTAATGTTAATATGTGTAAATCATTTTACACATGTGTGTCAGTGAGATATGTCAGCAAAATACAGTAATGCACCCCATGGTGATGCTTACATAACAGCGTGCTGCATATGTGACAGTGGTCTCATGACGTGGCCTGGTGACACTGCAGCCACTTTCCTTTGTGTAAATATGTGCAAAGTCTTTTAATGATATTGTACAACAACAGAATCAAATGACACCTTCTCAGAATGCATTGTCCTGGTTAATAACACGCAATTGTATGGATTTTGCTTATTTTTAATTTTAAAATCAACTTTTTTGAAGTACCATTTATATACAATAGTTGCCCACATCTTTGAGCTCTAATTTATGTAACTACGTAACCACCACAGTTAAGCTACAGAACATATCCATCACCCAGAAATGTTCCCTCCTGCCCCTTTGCAATAAATCTCTCTGACCATCCTAGGCAACCACTGATCTGTCTCTAGAGTTTGCCTTTTTTTTTTCTTCTAGGATATCATATATGTGGAATCAAATACAGAATTAAGTGCTCTTTTGTATCTGACATTTTTTACTTGACAAACTTTCTCTTTTTTTTCTCATTGAGTTTATTGGTACATTTTAGGTATACAGTACAGTTACATTCATCATTGGGATCTTGTACCTTTACATGACAGGTCTTGGTTCTCATTTTTTCCCCTTGTCCCTGCCCTCCCTTCACCCCCTCCTCCCCTCCCCATTTACAAACACTTTATTTCCATTTTCTCATATTTTTTTCTTTTCCCTTATTACCTTTCCCCTACCCTTCCCACTTGCCCTACACCTTTAGCCCTTTTCTTCCTATTTCACATTGTCAATTATCTTATTAGGACCTTATGTACTATTAGAGTTTTCACACCAGAGAAACTATTCGGTATTAACACATGTGTGACTTATTTATTTCGCTTAGGAGTATATCCTCAATATGTATCCATTTTCCTATGAATGAATCTAATTTCTCATTCTTTATGGCTGAGTAAGGTTCCATTTTATAGAAAAACCACATCTTCTTTATCCAGGTTCCAACTGATGGGCAAATGGGACAAATTGTTTGTGAGATTCCCCTGTATGGTTTCATGTATTGGTAACATATTCCTTGTATTACTTAGTAACATTCCACCACGTGCATGTAGCACAATGTGTCCCTTCCTCTACGGATGGGCACTTGGGTTGTCTCCAGCTCTGGTTATTGTGGAGAAACCTGCTATGCACAAATGTTTCTGTGGGCATGTTTTCACGGATCTTGAGTGAATACACAGGAGAAGAATAGCCAGGTTACATAATATACGTTTATTCATAGTTACTCCTGGAGAGCAAAAATAATTTCACAAAACCTATTTTGTTTGATAAGTCAGGGCAGCACCTCAATTTAGAGCAATTGTATTTTGAGGATTTGGAGTGTTTTGTTTGAGTTTTTACATATATATCCTTCATCCACCCCCATCCCTTATTGGGGATTGAACTCAGGGTCTTCACACTGAGCTACATCCCAAGCTGCTGCTGCTTCTTTTTCTTTTTCTTTTCTTTTCTTTTTTTTTTTTTGTCGTTGTCGTTGTTGTTGTTGTTGTTGTTGTTGTTGTTGTTGTTGTTGTTGAAACAAGGTCTTGCTGAGCTGCTCAGGTGAAATTTGAACTTGTGATCTTTCTGCCTTAGCCTCCCAAAGCAGTGGGATTCCAGGCCGCTACCCTCTGCTATTGCGTTTTATATTTTTGTTGAAAGATTAGATACTTCGGTGTCAAGGAAACTGGGCTTGCTTATAATGGCCATTCCTTGAGAGTTTCAGATAATTTGAGAAAAAGATGAAGACAGAGACAGACAGAGAAGCAGAGAGAGAGAGACAGTGAAAATGAATACACGGTGGGGAGTGGTAGCAAAGCCACAAGCGGAATTCATCCCAGGGTTAATTCTTCCTAATAACTTCTCTTGCCCTGCAGATTCACCCCTGCGCCTGGTGGGCGGGCAGAACCGCTGCGAGGGCCGCCTAGAGGTGCGGTACCTTCGGCCCGGGCTCCGGGCCCATCCTGCTGGACGATGTGAGCTGCAAGGGCGCCGAGGACGCGCTAGAGAGCTGCAGCCACACGGGCTGGGCGCACCACAACTGCGGGCACCACGGGGACGCAGGCGTGGTCTGCTCAGGTGACAGGTCCTAGGTGTCCCTGAGGCTGTCCCAGGAGCACCCGCCTTTGAGGAAGCCTTTCCCTCCATGTATCTCTGAGGTCAAAATTCACCACCCTCAGAGCATGAGACTTGGTCAGAGTCCCACCTCTTATGATAACGAAGGCATACAGGCCAATATACAGCTGACCATAAAGGCTTTGATCATCTGGCTTGGCAACCGGTCGGTAACCTTTATCTCATTGCAGGGTTTGCTCCGAAATGTAGCTAAAAGATTATGAGATCAAAAGAACAGGTTACAATGTCATGAAATGATGAAGAGCATAGAACTTGACTTGTCCAGGTCCCTTTTCAAGCTCTGAAAAGGGCTTCGAGGGCACAGTCCTGGGGGGACCTTCCATTACCTTACCCTAACCTTCAGAAGTCCAAAGGACACCATACAAAGCCAGGCCTGGTGGCGCATGCCTGTAATCCCAGCTGAGGCAGGAGGATCGCTGTGAATTTGAGACCAGCCTGGTCTACATAGTGAGTTCCAAGTCAGTCTCAACTACACAGTGAGACTCTGTCTCAAAAACTCAAAAAAAAAAAAAAGGAGCCAAAAGGCACCCTACAGTGTCCTGGGTTTCCTCATGTCCTGTGCATCCAAGATCGGCCTGTACCTTTCCTGGAATACATTTTATTGTCATCCAACTTCTTGGCATTCTGACTTGCACAGGTGGGCTGTACTATTTCCTTGTATGTGTCCTAAGTTTGCCCAGAATTGTCCTGTGTAAATCTCAAGGAGTTAGGAAATTCTGAGACTCACACAAGTCTGAGCTCACCTTGCCTGTTCCATTTTTAGTTTTTTACAGGTGATCAAAGCAATTGTTGGTCTTGCTTTTACCTTTATGTAGATGCTACCCCTGTTTTGATTAGACCTGGAATCCAAATGGAAAAGCTGCCAGAGTTCCCTGGAGACAAGCATTAATCATGCAGAGCCAAGTGGTTTGAGTCTGTCGCTGGAGTCAATCTTCAAGGGCCTTGTTTTTGTGGTGTCTCTTCTGAGTCCAAGCCAGTCCTGGTGCTGTCAGAGAACCCACTGCCAATGACAATCTGTTTTCCTTTCTTTGATTCTCCATCAACAGAGCATCCTTCCATGTAGTACAGTATTCAAAGAACCAAGAGCCTGGGACCCAGGAGATTTAAAGGGGTGGAATGAATCTATCCAGCCATGCTTCGTAGGCTGAGACTTTGTCCTGGGAGACTGTCCTATCTTGCTTCTGAGCTGGAGGAGCCCTTGAAGGTTGGAGACTCATTCTTGCCCAGCCTGAGATCCCAAGGGTACCACATGTGTAGAAAAGGGCACCAGCCAGAGTTCATACATGTGACAGTGTCTATAAACTTTGAAACTCTGTGTTTATGATTTTTTTTGTTCCAACAAATCTTGGGTTTGAGGAAGTGTGTATCCTCAACACTGCTTCACCTGTGCCAGAATCCAGCTCCACCAGGAACCTCTGGGCCCCCCTTTCCTCAGCATAACCTGATTCTTTAGCTTTAACAGCTAAGTCAAGTGAGCCAATCACCTGTTTTTCATCTACTTCCAGTCATAGTTTCCTCTTCTAGTGTTTCAGCACTGTTGACATTTGTTCTCATCCTCTCCCATTGCCAGGTCCTGCTGACTCCGTTGTGCCCAAGGACAATGGTAAAGTCATCCTCCCTACCTCGATCTGAGCTTCCGAAAAGGAGAACTAGGAGAGCAGCCAAGTGGGGAAGAAGGAATAGGCTTTAAGGGGGATTGGCCCCTATGTTTACACTGAGATCTCTCATTTCCATCTGTGTGCTAGACTTTAGGAGGTTGGGGAAGTAGCACCCTTTGCATCCAAGCTCCTTCCCTCTATGTCTCCACTCAGTCTCCAGCTTTCCTCCATGCAGAGGCCCAGATGGACTCAACATGGGAAATGAGCTGTCCTTTAAACCTTACATAGGCTCTGGCTCATGGTCCACAGGACATGTGCCATGGATGTGTTATGGATGGCCTCAAAGTCTTTTTGAAGATAGAGGATGTAAATGAAATCAATGAAAGTCAAGGGCAGAGGGTTAAGAGAGCTGATCCATCCCCAGCCCAGAGCAGTGTCCTTGGGACTTTTAGAAAATAAACATACACCCAACCTTTGGCCTGTAAGCACAGTGCAAGTTCTCCTTGTGACAGTTCTCCCTCTCCCGCAGCCCAGCTCTTCTGCATGCCCCACCTCTTCCAAGCAGTTGTTGACCGAGGCTACCTCCGAAGACTGGGGTATTCCTCTTGGAATGTCCACCTAAATGACAAGCTGTGTCGCCCCCAAGTCACTGGGCGTTACTTGATCTTCCACATTCCCTATGGCCACTGTGGCACTGTCTGGCAGGTAAGAAACTGACAAGAAGGTGGCACCTTCTATGAATGGAGGCCCAAGAGGAATTGGAAAATTCAACCACTTGTCAAAAACCTGTGTAGTCAAGTGTCATGTCACATGCCTGTAATCCCAGCACTCTGTGAGGCTGAAACAAATTTATGCCTGGCCTGGGGAAAATTTAGTGATCTTGAAAGACCCTGTCATAATTTCTTTTTTAATTTAAAAAAGGTTGGGAATATAGTTCATGGTGAAGGCCTTGGGTTCAATCCCCAAGATCTGGGTAGGAGGCAGGGGTTGTATAAGACAGAAAAAACATCAAGTGTCATGTCACATGCCTGTAATCCCAGCACTCTGTGAGGCTGAAACAAATTTATGCCTGGTCTGGGGGCAATTTAGTGATCTTGAAAGACCCTGTCATAAATTTTTTTTTTAATTTAAAAAAGGTTGGGGATATAGTTCATGGTGAAGGCCTTGGGTTCAATCCCCAAGATCCGGGTAGGGGGCAGGGGCTGTGTAAGACAGAGAAAAAACACAAAGCATGGCTTAATTTCTGAATTTGGTATGACCTGGAGCAGCTCACTAGTTTGTCTGGAACTTTCCTTCCAATGAGTTATTTAGGACACACTGAACTTGGGATGTGCTCAAGTGTTGAGTGCTGATGTATTTTGAGAGATGGATGGATGGATGGATGGATGGATAATCTCTCAGTTCCAAACTATCTTTTAAAATATATTTATTGATTGAGCATTAGGGCACACCTACCATGTTCAAGCTTTGCCACTAGGGATGGAAAAGGATAAAGTGTCTGACTGTCTAACTGTTATGTTTCTATCCAAGTAGCTATATTCCACAGTCTAGAAAGTATAAATAGAACACTTGTGAATAGTGAGTCTATTTAATATATATTCATTTTTCCTTGACCACATGCTTATTTCACAAAACAATGGCATTCAAATTAAGGGAATGACTTTATCAAAGGTATAGTGAGAGTAAACAAATATGGTATCCTTTGTCGCAGTATATTTAACAATGTAAGATGTCCCAAAGCAAGATCTTCATACTATTCTTCTGCATCCCTGTTTAGACACATGCAAAAAGCCTATTTTTGCTAGTCAGATTCATTCAAACAGTACATGATGCCAAATAATCCCTCTAATGCCATACTTCATGTTTTATCTTTTACTTGATGTGTAACATCATAATCATTCTTAACCTTTTTGCTCTGAAAATCCTACTCTTTACCTCAGAGGATTGTGCCCCAAAAGACTCTGCATCCCTGTTTAGACACATGCAAAAAGCCTATTTTTGCTAGTCAGATTCATTCAAACAGTACATGATGCCAAATAATCCCTCTAATGCCATACTTCATGTTTTATCTTTTACTTGATGTGTAACATCATAATCATTCTTAACCTTTTTGCTCTGAAAATCCTACTCTTTACCTCAGAGGATTGTGCCCCAAAAGACATACTGGCGGTCCCCAGTATCTGGGAGAAAGGTGGCTCCCAGAAGCTTCTGGGCCTCAGGGGGGCTATAAATGTCCTAAATGTCCTTTCTGATCTGTGTGGCCCACCTGCCCCAGAATGTCCTATGTGCTGGCCTCAGTGCTGGGGTCAGACAACAGCAGAGTCAGTAACCAGGTGGAGTGTTGGCCAGTCCCACGCCACTCTACGGAAGCACTGTCCTGCGAAGGTCCTGAGTCTGATTTGAGAGTCAGCAAGTGAGCAAACTCCTAGGTCCTGAGTACACAAATCCTTGCCCCCGTGCCTCTTACATTCAAGGAAAGGGAGACATGTACTGGACAAACACACAAATGACAGTCTATTTTATGGTGAAGAAAATAAAGATAGCAAAACAGGAAGGTGGAAGGGAAGGTGGAAGCTACTGAATGATGGGTTGAAGCAGTTAAGAAAGGGGCAGGAGGAACACGCCAGGCAGGGCCTGGGCTAGTGCAGGATCCTGGGTAGCAGAAAGCTGGAGGGTTTGAGAAAAAGATGGGGGGTGGCAGCCAGTTCAGTGTCAGAATGGAAGTGAGTGGGTCAAATGGCCATGAAGTTCGGCATTTATTCTAAACTGTGCATTCTCAAGCAGGGCAATGTTATCCGTGTGGAGG